AAACCCCCCCCCCCCCATAATAGACGACCACCTGGTCTTCTATTTTGTCTCTCAAGTCAAGTTCTAAAGGGTGGTCTTCTATTGCGGTCAAATTTTGTCGCCTGCTAGTAGTTATTAAAAACAGTCACATTTAAATGATCAGGTCTCCTATAAATCAAAGACTTAATGAAAGTTTGACTGAACATAGATATTGTCGAAAACAAATGTGTGATTTTGAAAAAATGAATTTCAAGCAAACCAGGTAGATTTGAATTACGCTCCTCATACGCACTTACCAACCATGTACTACACTGTAAAGTCGGGAATTATTTATAGAAAATTCTCAGGGATTTTATATATGGACTTTTCGAAAATAAAAAAGTCGGATTATTTTCTACTTTCTAGAAAATCACTGCGGATTTTTTAGATGATGTGGAAGAACAATTTGAATGAGAATGCTGATAATCAGAGACTTGTGTGGAAATGGCTGAAGATAAACTTTTTCACCATTATTAAAAGCTGTTGAACTTTGAAGTTGAGTGGGTGTATTATTTCAGCTTATTGGATGACAATATGAATCTTTTACTAATGAAAACCAAATTCGCCATCGCTCACGTGTTGAACGACTGTTATTTGATTTAAAAAATAAAGAAAATAAATGTGAATTGTTAGGATCATATCTTTGAGTTAATATAACCAACTACATTTTTGGAAGATGCCAAATTCAGACATAAAAATGAGGAATATTAGCAAGAGCAAATCGGTTTGCGATCTTCAGAAAGTTGTGGTGGAACTCGACTGTGTCTTAACCAGGCAACCCAGGAACCTTTTCAGTACCTCTCTGTGATCTCCAAGTGTCATACGGGAACAATACTTCTCGAAGAATATGCTGATTTGCAAAAATTGTGAGAACTTTCTGAAGCTACTAACATTTCCGATGTTAAATACTAAAACGAGCAGAGATCTGTTACACGACAACTTGTTGCAATGTATAGGCTTTAATAGATGTGAAAGAAGCAAGAAAAAAATCACTGAGTCGTCTTCTTAGAAAATCGAATTCGATTTTCCAACTATTTAGAAAATCGCTGTCGATTTTCTAACTTTTTAGAAATTCCTTATCGATTTTCTGGCAAATGAGAAAAGTCAATTTATAGAAAATCCGCTCAATTTTCTAAGTAAAGTAGAAAATCAACATTTTCTAAACAGTCAGAAAATCGCTGAGGATTTTATAAAAGTTGGAAAATCCTTGGCGATTTTTCAGATCGATTTTCTATAAAGTAGAAAATAATTCCAAATTACAGTGTACCGTTTAGTGAATAGTGCACTTTAGCAAGTGAATATTCTGGAAAGCGAAGATCTATAGAATTTACAATATGCCACTATAGCTCATCTTACGGGTAATAGCAAAAGATGAAGACACCCACAGACATCACAGACGGCATAGGGACAGCCACAGACAACCAAAAATAACTACACAGACATCCATGGATGTCTGTGGCTGTATCTATGCTGTCGGTGTAGCTGTCTGTGTGCTGTCCACAGACAGCTACACTACAAAACTGTGTGTTTACGATTACCCCTCATCTTACTATGGTAAAATTAGAAGTCATTTTGATGCTATCTTTCAAGCATGTTGATTAAATCATTTTTGTTATATTACACTCTTTTCTTCAGATTGATTTTTTTAGTAAATCTATTTAAAGAATAAGAAATTTATGCAAATATCAAAATAAACTTTTGTTTGACGATTTGTAGTTCGCGGGAGAACGGTGAGCTGCTTTCTGTGCGTCATCTATGGAGAGGAATAATGGGTGGGATAATGGGATAGACTTATCAGTTCTATATAAACTTTAATTCCTGTTAATCCTCATTTTACTAGGAGTAAATGAAAAAACTTTCATCTAGAACTATACTCACATTGAACAAAACGTCGCTTATGTAAATGATGCAATTTTGACGTAAAAAGAAAATTTTTTGAGTCGATATTTTAAAATCGCGTGGACACTATATCACTTGTTAATATATTCAATGATGTGTTGGTTTTCGTTAAGTCTATACCGGTATCGATCTTCAATTTTGTTACTGAAGTTTTGTTGATTAATAGCAGATTTTATGGTGCCGAAAATACGGTGATTTTGAGACTAGTTTGAGATTTGTTTTTTGTGAAGGTGGTAACGAATAACTACGCTGAAGTGATGATGCTAACGATCTATGTTGTATTTGATTTTTAACTGATATTCGACGATGTTTCATAGAATAAGTGTTTATTAATTCTTGAAAGAAATTATAGCAATATGGGCAGACTACTTTTGGTTTTTCGGCTAACACTATTTTTGTTTTAGAAAGTCGTAAATTTCGATCTAATGATGATGTTTTATGACTGTATGAACGATGTGTTGTAAATAATGAATATGTGAAGATTTCAATGGGTACATCATAAACGTCTTCTTGTGGAAATTGTGTGATTTTTACGCATTGTTTGCAAATAAAATGTTTACACACTGAGCATGGAATACCGAACGACAGAGTGAAGAAACTAAAATTTACTTGTTTACATGCAAAACAAAGTTTGTTATGCATAATTTTTTGTGATTGTTTAGGAAATTCGATTGAACACGAACTAAGCACTGCACTTATGAGTACTTGTTGAATGTGGCAAATTTCTTTAAATGTTAATGGTATATAGTCCATAATTATCCACTTCTTATTCAATTTATTAGTGGATAAATCATCGTCGGATGACGTTTCTATCAAACATTTAACAAAATCTACGCGTTTTCGTCCATGAACATCTCGACGTTTCAACTCTTCATCTTCACTTTCATCTTTACTTTCATCTTCGTCATTAAGTGGTAAAATTTGTTTTCGTTTAGAAACAGTTTTCGGAACATTGCTTGTTTTGGATATTGAATAATTTAATTCTGTATCTAACATGGATGTATAATTTTATTCAAGTACCAAACGGCGTATAAGTTATTCTTTAACACAATTACGATTCAAAATTTAATCATTAGAAAAAGAAAGTATATAGTTGATAACCATATGTTTTTTTTAAACTGCTTACCTGGTCTCTTTCTTGTTCTGTTCTGTTTTAAGCATAAACGATGATTTTCTTTTCCGTATGGGGTTGTATAGTATATGTTTTTTTAACGTACAATCAACATGAGATAGAGAAAAAAAATACAAGGGCCGTCTTTAAATGCGGATTAACATTTTCTGCGTAACGCTGGACTATGTGATATTGTATATCAAAGACAAAATGTATTTATGTTCTTTTTTTCGAACATCAATAATCGAATTTCCTGATCCCATCAGAATTAATCTCAAACAACTAACAGGAATCTTAAATAAGGTTAAAACACGTTTATTAATATGGCATTGCTTTGCATGTCATACTTCTCTTTTATTGAAAATCGTTGGTAAAAAAACAACGCACGGTTAAACGATTTTTGTTAATCACTGTTTTGATCTGCAGTCGTATATACTATAAAAAGAAAACACAAAAATTTCCCTTTGTTTAGCCATGCCCATACGAAATAATAGAGAAGCCCTGTTTCGTCTTACATCATAATAAAATCAAATCGCACAGTTATTTCTTCTCCTTAGTGGTTTTCTACACATGGATTGTTTCGTCAAAAAGTAGGATAATCTAGTAATAACCATGCTCAAATAAAATAACTGTATGTTGGCTATTTTTACAAAAACTTAAAAAACTCATAACATACGTACATATATTATACTGCGATACGCGCATTGGAGTGTGTATCGCAATGCTATTCCTTTCATTCAATCGTTACAGATTTGTATTATATTTCCAGGTCAAAGATAACTGACATTTAATAGGACATAAATGACCTGTTAACGAAATGGCTAACAAAAAGGGTTTCAACAGGCTTCTGTTTGTGAAGACAAAAAACGGACATTTACCAACAGATCCTTGACCATATGCAGCCAATAATTATGCAAAAATAGTTATTAAAGGGTTACTATTAAATGCTTGTTTTCAGCCGGTTTCTTGGCCGTTAAAGACATGCCACTTTTAGACATTAAGAGCCCCCCTCAGATATTATGATTTTCTGTCAAAAATTCGTTTTGAGATAAGCACATGGAAAGGTAGCCTGAAATGTCTACTTTCAGAATCTGTGTCGCTTTTGGGTACAGATTGCAGTTTTCGGGGATTTTTAGCAAGTTTTCTAGGAGCCTCGGAAAATCGGATCTTCAAATAATAGCTTTTTCCTGGATACTTATGCAATTAAAATTTTTCTGAACACACCGATTTGTAGAGCAAACGTGTCTGATCAAAATAAGACCTCGCACAACTCTGTATGACCTTACATCGAAAAACTACAGGCATTTGCCTATAAAATTGAGTATTTTATATAGCGTTTAATCCAGCGTTTTCACTATATAAGAGTTACACCTGAAGTATTTCCCAAGGTTTTTAATAGGGGTTTGTCGTAGAGAGTTTATTCTTTTTTTGTTTAAAAGAGGAAAAGAAGCTACATGGAGTGACAAGCGCCAATTTTTGAATTAGGTCTTATTTTTCTGTCAAATTGAAGATTTCTAGAAAACTCGGAAGGATTTTTCGGGTTTTGTAGGTTGTTGGTTGCCTGGAAAACCAACAAAGGCTTAATTGAGAAATCGGCGCTTGTCAGCACATGTAGGTAGGTGTCTGGTATTAAATAAAACAAATTCGAACTCTCCAGCTCGAAGTATATTAAAAAATCTTGGGAAATACTTTATGATCCCTTTTGGACCTTGATGTCTAGAAAACTAAACGGTAAGACCTGGAGACAAAAACTTTTTTTCTTTCCGTAATTCATTGAACCTAACATTTATGGAAAGTTTCGTCAAGATCGGATGTACGGCGTCAGAGATAATTTCTGAGGCAGGGGGCCGTAATACGTTTCCAGTTATAATGCCAGAAAATGGTCGAAAAACAGTGTTACCTAGCTAAAAAATGTCATTTAAGACACATTTTGTGGGCTGTTAATAGACAATAAATTACACTTTTTTCAACATTTTAGGTTCTCATCAATAAGTCATTTTTGTGATGGAAAAATGCCACCTGATTTACCTGCTGATACTCGACAGACGAAAAATGATTTTTATGAATCAGTATCGACACAAATCGTTTTCCTCAAATCACTGCAGCATGAAAAAAATTGCCTGCTATTGTTTACTCATCATCTATCTTGTTTTACCCTCGTTCTGTTCTTTCTAGACGGTCTATGCATGTTGAAAACAACCATAAAACTCGCTTGAAAGAAGTCTTATTCAGCCAAATCACGCAAGAATATTGTGACAAAAATATCTTGTTCGCAAGGAAAAACTTCAGAATCAAAGTTACACTTTATTTGAAGATGCATACACTTAGAATCAAATGTCATTCTAAGTACTTAAAGCGAGAAGTTCTCGCTTTATGTTCAATTTTTTCTTGATCGAAATTAGCAATATGATGGAAAAGTTGACTAATATGTTGTTATTAAACAGTATGATCGACCGTGATATAATGTATAGAATCCAAAACGGTTTCTCTACTTCACAAAGAAATACAAGGATGGAAATTAGAACATGATGTCGAAGGTTAGTCATGTAAATGAATCTTCAATTGATACCTGCAGCTTCGATTTTAAATCAAGAGAAACGCCTACACAAGGACAATTTCACAATCAGAACCAACTGATTTTTACCTTCAAGTATGCGCCTAGTTAATTGAAAAACATTTTTCTGCTTCTATACACCGCTAAAATATTTCTTTATTATTTGCAACAGCAAAAAAGCAACATATACAAGCTCTTACTTTTATGTACATACAACATAACTGGAATATTTTTCTGACAAAAAAAACATTTATCTCTTCACACAACAATTCTCTCTAAAGAAAAGGTATTTATACACACCAACACAAGAAAAGAACAGCTTAATAACAACAAAAACACGAAAAAGTTTTTTGCAAATATTTTTGTTGTTATTGATGGTTATGTTTATTTTTGACTTGTATATTTTGTAACAGCTTTTGTACCTTCCGAAACAGCATGTTTAGCTAATTCTCCTGGTAATAATAAACGAACAGCCGTTTGAATTTCACGTGACGATATTGTTTGTTTTTTATTATAATGTGAAAGACGACTTGATTCAGCAGCTATACGTTCGAATATATCGTTAACAAATGAATTCATAATTGACATAGCTTTTGATGAAACACCCGTATCTGGGTGTACCTAAAAAAAGAAACAAAATAAACATTAGAAGAATCCAAGAAACGTTTATAGTTCTAACAAAATAAGTGCAATCTATAGGAAAAAGAAGTGTCATTAGAGGAAGATCCCGTGGAGAAAACTATTTACAAATATTATAACCTAGAAAGGATCCAACTATTTTATCCACACTTCATATTCGTCTCAGATATTTCTCGATTTAACATAATGTAGCTTATTCATGTGCTATAGAAATAAACAAAACAACAGGCTAAAAATCACTTACTTGTTTTAAAACTTTATATATATAAATTGAATAAGTTTCTTTTCGTCTGGTACGACGTTTTTTATCACCAACTTTAGTACCAGACCCCGATGATTTCGATGCTTTGCCTACCAATTTTTTGGAACCTTGAAACAAAAATCATTTAAATATGATAAAGAGTTTCATCAATCCCACTTCTAACAAAATATACCTTTCGTTGGTGTTTTTGGTGGCATAATTGATCAGACTGAACTATTGACGTTGACTGTTAACAAGAAATAGGACTGACTAAAACGTAGTAAACAGTATAATAGAAAAATGAAAATGAATGAACAGTATGTGCAGCGTTGACCCCTATATATAGCCATAAACGCAGACGTTTTATTGGTTGACAACTTCAATACAGATGTTTTGATTTTTAGATGTTATAAAAAGAATAAAAGCATTTTCATACCACCTACCTTGTGTATGCATGACTATTTTTTAAATATCGCCTACAACCAGTCGAAATAAAGAAAACTTCAAGGTAATATGTTGAAGGTGGCGCTCGTGTCTTTAAGCTAATATTAATTTTTGACATGTGGAGAGGCAAGGTCTATCTTTATGGCTTCCAGGATGTGGAGACGTTTTTCTTTTCTAAATGCTGATTGATTGTCTTTGATCAATCAGAATAAAGTTGTTAAAAAACAAACCATGGACTGTTGTATATATACCCTCGATTAGCTGCTTTCCAATTGCATTTACACAGATCTTACTCTGAAACTACGTTTGTCTGTATCCTGTCAAACTTACAACAGTGAGTACTTAGCATTTTTTGACTATAGGTGGAAGTAATTGACATGCAGATGATACTAAGAGCTCAACTATTTTCTATATGAAAAAGGGTACGTCAAGGACTCATGCGGGCATTAGTACCCAGTCACGTAGTAGGGCAATCAATTGTAATCGTATCTTGATAATACCATTAAAAACATTTGACTGTGATGATATTTATTCCCACATACGCAGTTTCCACTTGAATGTCCAAATGTAAGCATAAAAAGGATGCCTTCTTTGGAAGTCTGAGTCATTTGTTGTTTTGAATGGTATTTTCCGACTACTTAACACTTTCATACATATACTACTGTCTTTCTGGCTCCTATGTAAATCTTTGTTTGTTTTTTGTATTTAGATCATCGTTCGTTTATTATTATTTTAATTTGAAAGAATGTCTGGACGGGGTAAAGTCAGTGGCAGTGGGAAAGCTCGTGCAAAAGCAAAAACACGATCATCGCGTGCCGGTCTTCAATTTCCCGTTGGAAGAATTCATCGTTTGTTACGTCGTGGGAATTATGCTGAACGAGTTGGAGCTGGTATGTGATTACAACATTATTCTAAAAACGTTTTTATCTGCGAATGTAAAGTTTGTTACTGTTGAAAATGAGAGTAAATCTAAAAATAGGAGTTTTTCGAGAGAAAACTCGTTTAGAAAGTCTTGTTAAAAGAGGAGCTTTGGTACTTTTAAGCAAGATATTTGTGAAGGACGTACGGCGACGTCGCGTTTTTTTCTGCTCTGCATTTTTCAACAGCACGAAAAATACATATCGTTCGACTAAGAGTTTTAAAATATCGAACGCAAAAAGATATTATTTTCATAGTGCGTCCTTTTAGAACTAAACACTGTGCTACATGTTTCAAATCTAACTTTTGTTTAAATCCAGCCTGTAGTTGTGGTATCTACTCTCTACCACGTTCTTTTTAACCAGTTACATGGCTTCAACAGCTAATATACTTTCCGTTTGTCTTTAGGTGCACCCGTCTACTTAGCTGCCGTACTGGAATATTTGAGCGCTGAGATACTGGAATTAGCTGGAAACGCAGGTAATATTGTGTTTTTCATAAAACAGAAAAAAATGTTGAACTCAACTTTTTTTTAATTTAGCTCGCGACAATAAGAAAACACGTATAATTCCTCGCCATTTACAACTGGCTATTCGTAACGACGAAGAATTGAACAAGCTCTTATCCGGTGTCACAATCGCACAAGGAGGTGTTCTCCCAAATATTCAGCAGGTAAGCAATACTTGTTGCGTCAACAAATAGTGACATAAAAGCATTTTTTATTGTCTTCAAATAGTATATTTTTCTATCCTGTTATCATAAAGTGTAGTTCCTGTATTTAAAATTTTTTTTCTTTTGTTTCATTTAGGTTTTATTACCGAAAAAAAGTGATTCTGCTCCCTCCCAACGCGAAGCACCTGTCGTAAAAACATCGGGAAAAGCACCCAAAACTTCAACAAAATCAGGTGAAAAGTCAAGTGGTACGAGTAGTGGTAAATCAGCCGCACCCGCAAGTGCCGATAAATCATAAACACCATGTACAGACGCATATATACAAGACTCTTGTTTGTTCTAAACAACACTAAGAGACTTTTTTTCCCACTTTTGCTTATATTTTTCTCTATTTTTTGTTTTTGTTGTAATTATTGTAACAAAATTTCTGGATTGCCATTCCGGAATGGCAGTCTAATTTTTGAAGTGTAAACATAGGCTTACTTTCAGTAAAGAAAATAGTATCTTTCGTAAGAATCTGTGCTTGTTTCATCAAAAATATCGTTAATTCATTGTTTAGTTTAGAGTTGAGCCAAGAAATTGTGTCATTCATTCTTTATTTCGTAGTTTAAATAATTATGTACTATGACACACTTATCATATTGAAAAGCCATATAATAAGCTTGGGAGACTGATCATTTTCGCAGAAAATGTAGGAAAAAAAATATTGAATTTTCTATCTATGTTTGTCTGTCGTTGATCCTGCAAATCTCAATCGAGAACTCTTCGCAAATTCGATGAAAAAAACATCGTTTCATGGAACGCGTCTCATATTCATACTTTAGCTTGCATAGGCTAAAAATAACTTGTTTGCTAACCGAATTCTATTGTATATATAAGATTCATCGAATAGCATATAGCAGAAAACGCTGACAATGGTTAAAGTAATGTACATTTTTTATACAAATCAATTGGTTCAAATATAGAGTGATTAACTGCTTTACGTTGCATTAATGGTGATCAAACATAGCTCTAATGAAAAAAGAACAAAAAATATGGTGTTCATCGTTATACCATGGCTCTAACTAAATCATCAAGTTATAGATGACCCCTACACTTCTCTATGAATACTGAGAATAATGTTGGTAATCAAATGTTAGGAATCAAGGAATATTCTGAAAATCAAGAATGACTTTAGATCAATAATCTCAAAATAATCGGCTCTTTCCTGCCGCTATAAACACCTCTCCGATCCTATCGTTGCTATCCTTTAGAAATGCTGTTTCTTCACGTTTTTTTAGTATACCCTTCAAAGAAAAACATTTTCGTAATAAGATAAATAAAATATGGTTAATTGTCCAAACTTTTCGTTCGCTGTTTTAGTCTCACGTACCAGAGTTTTGACGGGAAATTTATCCTCCGTTCCGTCAGCTTTCGCTAGTAAAAGGCACTGATCAGAATAGCTGAGTGGTGGATGCTTTTATTTTTAACCGCAAGAAACTAACTTTTTTTCTGCATAATGTTCAGACAAAGGACAAAACGAAGTGCTGCTCTCCATTAGTGTGAACAACATGAAAATAACAAAGCAGTAGAATCCCTTTTACATTGTTATTGATCTGGTTTGTAACAACATTCGCATATTATGCTCTGTAGAAAGAAACAAAATCCAAAAGAAAGCGATAATTTTCAGTTCTAATTTCTGCCCTCGCCTCGCAAAGTTCCAGTGTTTTCGTCTTGTCTTGGCGCTCACGAAGCTCTCTCAAGTTAAAAAGTTAAACATGGCTATAGATTTCTCATGTACCATATCTCTATGAAGGGAACGAGTCGCTTTCTGACTTCATTTGCATTTTTTCGTTTAGTTCATTAAAAAAATCCTTTAATATCTCATAGAATTCTGAAAACCCAACAAAAGTTCAAATATAAATTGTTTTTTGTATGTATATAATATTTTAAATAGACAGAAAATGATAGATAACAACAAAAAAGTCGAACAGACAACATTAATAAAATCACTGTATGCAATGAAATAAAAATATTCAGTCGAGAAACAAAAACGAGAAAAAGTAATTGACAATTCTTCCCCTAATTACCTCTTGCAACACCAACGTTTGGCAATTGTTGCACTTCTCTTTTTTCTAATTCAACAACCAGTGCATTAGCAGCAATATCATAGCTTGTCTGACGATGAGATGACAAAAGAGCAACAACAACAGCAGGGAACAAAAATGTACTCATCAAACTTTTGAAAGCTGAACGTGTTAGAGCTCTAAAAGAGAATAGATTATATAAGTATGAAAGTGTGTGAATAGTTTTCTCTCACTTACGCAATATAATTCAACAGGATACCCGGTTCTACGACAACGCTTCCGTCCGCCTGAACATTCATATGATTACATTTAAGAACTCTCAATCGTAATAAACGTTTTCCAGGTGTAGCACCATATCTAGCCAAACAAATACCCTAAAAATCAGAAAAATAACATGAATATTTAAACGGTTACAGATTTTTATTATTGTTTTTCAATACCTCAAAAGCGATACTTGTTAATGCATAGCCAATCTCAAGGAAAATTAATTCGAATGGAATCGATAGTGTATCTTCATATAAAAGTGACGAAACGAAATAGCTTAATGTTAAACGGTTTTCATCGCTAAAATGAAAAAGACAAATGGAAATATTGTCTATCTTTAGCAATTCTGTATGACAATTGGTATGACGATAAATAATTCTTTTCATGGGACACTATTTATGAACTCTGTACTTACATTAAATGAAATGTATTTGCTAGTAAAACAACACTTAATAGTTTGAATGCATGTAATATAATAAAGTCGATAACTTCAGCAAAAAATCGTCTGTAGATTGATGCAATTTTTAAACGAGCTAAATATAAATAGAAAGAAGTCAATAAAGATTTTCTTTGTTTCAGTATCTTACCATTTCTAATTTCTATCATAGGATCAAATCTTTGACGAATATTTTGAGAAGAGTGAGCTGCTGTCGTGGCAGCGGCTGCTAAAAAATGTGTATTTGTTACTGTTGATAACTGCTGAAGAAAGGTATTCATCATCCACATATTGTAATAATTTAAACAGGATGTATTCCACGTATAGTAAGCCTCTATAAAGAGAAAGAAAAGAAAATTATAGTAAAAAATTAATTAAAAAAATTGAATGCTTACGACGCCATTGTTCGACTAATTCAGAATATTCATTAACTGTTAGATCAGTTTTTTTCTGTGTTGTAGCTGATGAATCATCTGTTTCTAAACCTCCACGACTTGGTTTTGTATCAGCAACAGCAGTGTTATCAGCATTAGAAGAAGCCATTCTGAGTACGATTACTAGTTTAGTTCATTAATTACAAAACCATCTAAAAGGCTAAATATATGTCGTCAAATGTTTCACTTGAAGAAGTTCATTTAATCTCTGAAAAGTAATGACAGTTTACTCAGTATGAAAAGCTTGAACATAATAATTTTACAAGCGGTAATCTCGATACAAATATAGTATAGAACGCTATTTGTATCCAGTGGATGCTATATCATATGATATAGAATGTTGCATTCTGGAACATCTAGTAGACAGACATCACATAAAAAATCAAAGGAAGAATACTAACTAAACAGAGCTCTATTGATTCACCGGTTCTTCTACAGATCGATCACACTCCCTACTGTGGTGCGTGTGGAGTGTGAGTGTGAGTGTGCGATCGATCTGTAGAAGTACCGATTCACTTTTACATTTATAATAGCCAATGTTAAAGTTATGCGAAGAATGAAACACTTGACGAGAGTGCAGATTATGAGAAGGTAATAGTTTAAGTAATATGAAATGTTACTAAAGGTAAACTAAGGGTGTTAGAGGACAGTTACGAGAACGAAGGACCATCCACTTAAGTCGACTTAATCAGTATATACTTTCCCCAAAATCATCGTCTTTTGTCTCTATTACCGTCTCAGTTTAAGCGATGCAAGGTTTCAGTTAGTTGGTTTTTGTCTATTTCGCTTAGATTTTATAGCTCTCGTATCACAAAAAACCCTAAGTCTGACTTAAGTCAAAATTTGGACTTAAGTTTTACCGTATTACAAAAAACCTTAAGTCAAAGGGTGACGTAAGTCATGAAAAATGTAGTCTTAAAGTTAACCTCAGTCAGTTTTTTTGGTTGGTTAGCTGTAGAGCATCGTCACATCAATCCTTACTTAGTTTTCGTTCATAAGCGCTGCTTCGAGCATTCTATCTTTTGCAAAGCATGCAAAAAAGTCATTTCTTCTTTAAATAGGGTTAGTTTTTATTCTCTTAATAAATTCGCTCTATTTTTTAAAGTATACGTCTGACATATTGTATATGATATTAGATTGGTTTATGAGAGTCAAATGAGAATGATGATCACGTGAGTCGTCTCTGTATGGAGTGGGTATTGTTAGAAGCTCCTGTCCCATACAAATAACGACTAGGTTCAATAGCATTAGATGGTGATCTATTAATTTGTACACACAAAGTCTACTTTATTTAGAAACAAATATTAAATTATACCCACTATTTTTCATTTTGTTACAGTACTTTTTTCGGTTTTCAAAAAGACCATTAAAATGCGTTTTTCTCTGAAACCTCTTTAAAAGTAAAAAAACAAATAAAGCGTTTAAACAAGTTTCAAGATAACACGCAACGGAAACTCTTTAAAACTACTGAATAATAAAACAAAGAAAAAGTCGTTCATTGTCAACTACGTTTTTCTAAAAATCCAAGGAAATAGAATAAAACATCATTCTTTTCTCCGCATTTTGAAGAAACACACTTATATAAAAAAAATGAAAATTTCACTCTTTGTTCAAACAAATTCTGTGTCGAATTTGGCAATATGGTCTCTTTAAGCAGTTTCGCCATCAGATCATGGAAGCTACCTACCTATGGGGTGTGCACAGTAGTAAAATGGGGAAAATATCGGATTAATTCAGTTTCCAAAAAGGTGTCTAGACTTGCATGGATACGTGTTTTTGTGTCCTTGCTCAGAGATAGATTCAAATTAACAAAAAGTGGTGGAAGTTCGACGGAAGAACACATTTTCCAAGTTTACAACAGTGATAATAAAGATTACCGTTATTCACAAGATTTTTGAAAAATTAAATTATCAATTATCAACGTGCTCTAACATAAAAAAACTTCAAAAAGAACAATTGGAAAGAATTCAAACGAAGAATTGGGACCCAAAATTTCTTTTTATGGATAATGTAGTTCCTTGGAGCCAAAAGATGAAGCTCGGATAAATACACTTTTATCGCCACAACGGTTCCAAAACAAGGCTTTTCCCATTTTTTCAGTGCTATAGAACTCATGACAAACTCTTCCTATCATCGAATCATGGCACGTGTGTGTGATAAACCATAAAATTAATTGTATAATACCAGCGTTTAAACACCGCTTCTCTTTCATGTCTGAAAAGGTAGATGACTTATTTCAGAAGCCAAATAAGCATGCCCCACATCCACATATGAATGATAGAGAACGAAAAGGAACGGGTAAACTTTTGACTGCGTCAATCGTTTCACTCGATTAAAATAATTCTAAGTAGAAAAAACTTGATAACTAAACGATGATAATTACTCAACATTTGCAATTAACACTAACGTTATACGACTGAGAAATAATACTGATTACAATGCCTTGATAATGCATCTAAAGAAAGTTCGTACTTCAAGAAAGTACCAGATCTTTTGGATAAGAATTGTTCGGAAATCTTACTATGTCTTGCTGAAAAAGATTAGAAACAATAAATAAGAAGTGACATATCTTGCGACAAATAATTTAAAAGATCCAAAAATTAGAAACGAAATATAACTCTTTGGTGTTTATGCTGACAATATTTTCCAAATCGACATTCTTGCCTCTTCTTAAAGCTACCATTTTCATAAGAAACACGACCAATTGTTTTAGATTACTCATCCAATTTATCTCTATCTCTAAAAGTTTCATTTCATTCTGTTTATAGAGCAATACACATTTATGAGAATCGACCGAACAAATTAACAAACACTAAATAGATTATATATAGTGGAAAAGTTAAATACACGTACAGATTTGAGATACAAATTTAATCATATTGTTATTACAAACCAATTTGATCAATTAAACATTGATTACTATCGACTATATATGAGTAAAAAATCTAACACATAAATGTTAGTCATACACTGCTAAATACATCACGTTAAAAAGAAGTAAATAATCAGCTATTCTCTATTTCGGAAATTGTTTTTATTGGTCAGAATGATTTCTGAAAAAACACAACTTCGGATAGGTTAATACAGATGAAACAAGTTTCTCTAAGCAAAAAAAAATTTATCTATAAATACCTCATTTACTCGCCTTTTTGCCTCAAACAGTATCATTCATACCACTTCTAATAAGTTAATGTAACAATGTCTTCTCCGTATAATTTTTCAACATTTTCGTGTTACTATTCAAGTCCACTGGCATGTTCATATATGAATAATAGTCATGATTCGTCATCTAGTTCGTCACCTTCATATAATTTGTCCAATTCATCGTATGACTGTTCTCAGATATATTCTCCAGCACCTTTCTCATCGACACTGTATGATCAAGAACAACCGCAATATTCTTATCCATCAAATTCATGGAATTATCCAGTATCCCCTACACATTTTTACCCAATGGTAAGTAAATTGGGTGTAAAATGTGCTTAAACTAACCAACTCATATTCAGTATATTTGTCTAACCCTCTTAAAACATATAAATATCAAATAAGATATATCAATATTCAGAATATAAAATTTCAACTCCCTATTTGAAGTGGTCGAATGATTTATTCTTTTTGACTGTAGAATCACTGTCGCTAGTGCTTGAAACTATTGAATATTTTGGATCGCAAAGTTAGAAAAACAAAATCCAGCTAATTTTAGTATAACAGTTTATGGGATAGAATTGTAAGCCGATGTAGATATTTTTCCATTATGTGTACAAAAATACCGTAAATGTAGAGGTGATCGTGTCGTAGAGTTTAATTAGTGTTTCGAGCAAATTAGAACAGCAGATTCGTGAAAAAAGTTTTGTATTACTTTTAATTTTCTAGCGCTGAAAAAGCGCCTTTAATTAGATGAAAGTTTTGGAGGAAGTGTGCCTTCCTTCAATTCAGCCACGCTTTGCAGGGATCTCGTACGTTACTGATTATTTTGTTACACAGTGGAGCATATACGTAAGAATAACAATCATTTGAAAAGCTTTGCTAACAAAATAAGTTTTAAACTCGACTTAGGAAGTACGCAAATCTGTTCCTCTCGAACAGGCTTCTGGGCTTTAAGTTCGTACCTTAGAGACAATATTAGAGCGTAATAGTCATTTCAAAAATGATATCATTTAAGTCTAGTGGGTAAAATAGAATTTGTAAAGTTGGATAAATCTGCTGGGAAATAGGTGAATGTATATTTGACTTGACATAATCGTCTTGACATAATCGCTTATTTATGAGATGAGGATGTTTTATGTCTTATTTATTTTAGACATCATTTCCAGATTCAAATATCGATGAATTATCACCTACGTCACCTCTATCGCTTCATCCATTGCCTTATCCTAGCTTACCAACCGATTCATATCAGGTACGTAATGATGTTTTGTACACGAATTTCAGAAGCAGTTTTTACACACCTGCGAGAGACACAAAACTATATGAAAAAAGACCTTAGTTAGAGATTTTTCCATCGAATTATTTGGACTCTTTTACTGTTTGTAGAAAAACACTTAGTTTTTAAAACATGTTAACAGTTTATTCGTTTATCTGTTGTAGAACATATTGACAATTAGTCCACTTTCAACTGTCACTGAACCAGTTCCAGTATCATCATCAATTAGTAAACATTCAACAACAACAGTTACAACAAGAAAAGAAAATCTTCGTTTACAATATAATTATCGTCAGCGGTACATGTTGAATGAAATATTTGCTTTTATTCCTTATCCAAATTGTATTCAAAAATCGATTATAGCTGATAGAATTGGTTGTACCAGAGAACAAATTCGAATATGGTTTCAAAATAAACGTCGTCTAGCAGCTCAACGTTCATCTAATCAAAATAATAATCAAAATAAACGTTTAACAAGAAATGAAATAAATGCGATACAACATGGTATATCATCAATTGACAAACAAGAACTTGAACAAATTTTAATTGAACTAAATAATCATAAAAATGCTCCACAACGACTATCAGCATCAAAACGACGTTGATCGTTTTTTATTTTTTTAAAGTGTAAATACTTTTTTCTTTTTTGTAACGAAAACTATAACTTTTCATATCAGATTTAAATGTTTTTTGTAATTTTAATAGTAACAAAAACAGAATAAAATAAAAATTCGCAAAAAAAAAGATTTAAAGTCGTAGCAAAGATGTACCGAATCTTAGTGCACCGAGTCTTATGAATGATTCTTTCGTGTAAAGAAAATTTTATTTCGATAATCTTAAAAAACCTCAAAAATTTTCTGAACTTTTGATAATATGTCAGGAATAATCTATTCATGGATCGAACAAAAAGTGATAAATTTAGATCATCGCTGAATGTGTTTAATTGATGCGATGTTTAAAAAAGAAGGAAGAATTTAATGTTACGTTAGTACAGTTATCTGAGTCTGAATTCTTTAGCTGTGAAAACTACTTGAATTACAACGATCATTCTCTAGGCAAAATTTTGTTGATGAATCGCTGCTGTTAGTGGTTGGTTTAGCCAAATTCGCTTTAAACTAGCTCGACAGTATAACAGAACGATTTGTGAATAGTTAAACAAGTTGTTAATAGCTAAACAAACTGCAATACGTATTACATAAGTTATACATTCTGACTTTAAACAAAATGTCATGGATAGAATATTGAAATGTACGTTATGTCAAACTTGTTCAACTACACTAGGGTAATAAGTATGAACAGAAAGTACAGTTCAATATAATACACTTTGATTTACTCGTTTGAGACCTAATGCCACAGAGGAAAATAAAAAGTATATGATATTGACTTTAAATTCTTAATTTATAGTTTATTCTAATTTACTCTATATGCATTCTCATTCATCGAGTTTAGATCACTTCAAAACTCTGTAATAAATGTTTATTGTCAATAAAAATAAAAATGCTTTCGAAATATTATTAAACGACTGAAATCTACTACGACTGAAAATTGATGGAATTACACGCTGATTTCTGCTCTAGCCACTGAAGTCTGCATTTTACTGCTAAGTAAAACATCTAAAAACTGAATTCTCATTTGTTTGTCATAGTAATTCTAGAATGTCTATTGATACGGACGATTTGACGCTTACGAATATGTGGTAGAATCAAAGAGGCCAACAAAAGACACATTTAGACTGGTTAAAAAGATCTGAGATGCTTAACAGACTTCTTGTATCTGAAATGTTTTGATTACACATTTTGAATTTGTTCCTTCCATTCAGATGTCATGAAGGTCAGTCAAGTCAAAAATGACTCTTTTAGCTATGCAGGTAACATTTGAAGTCGTTATATCATCAACCATTGTGATATTTCGACCATTTTCTTTTAAAGACTCTAATACTCATTATGCTCAACTAATAGTCATAGAAACTCGGATATGAAATGAAATAACAAATTGAAAGATGCTTATTTTTGCACTACTTCGTATAATGATAATCCTGAAGAAGACATACAATCTTGAAATCTAACAAACTATGGATAAAAACATGACTATCACAAATACAACTAAAGACATTTTTACTTGATATTAATAGATTTGATGTGAGGCTGACAACCATATACAATTGACTTAGAAACATTTCCGAAGCGAGATTTCATCCACTGTTCAACGTCCACATCTATTTAAAATAGTCTTTTCGTCAGACATTGGTAATATAAAACACATTTAATAATTACAACACGATATTAACATTTGCTCTATTAATCGGCGTTTTACTTAGTAAGAGCTTGATTTAGGTAAAACCACTCTTACTGAAGTGATTGTTATCACATTTTTAGAAATTGATATAGTTATACTCAACAACATATGTATTTACTGTATTTTTAAATAATTTGTTCAGCTTTTTAAATGATTAAAGCTTACACATCATGTTATCCTCATTTGTTGTTTATTTATACTTGGTACATGTGTAGAGAGAGAGAGAGAGAGAGAAAGAATGATAAATAAAAACGAAAAATCAAAGTATGTATACGTGAAGAAGAAAATTAGAATAAATGACAATAACGTACAAACACAAACACAAACAAATATTTCTCTCATCTTAATTTGCATATATGATAGATTATCCAATAAACAAAAACAAAAACAAAAAAGAAATGTAAAAACCAGAAAATTTCAAGATTCTATTTTATAAGCAACCACAAGATCGAGAACATATAAATAATTCGATGTTTATGTACTATTTCGAAAATAAAATAATATGGTTGTACAAATTACAATTACTTACACATATACGCACAAAAGGAATGACATAGAAGCACAAATAAAGAAAAACAATACACCACAAAAAAACGAAAATTATTATATTTGTTCTTAGAGAACATATATCGTCTTATTTGATCGAAATAAAGGGAAAAAACGATTTTTTTATTACAGTACATTGCACAGAAAAGCAAAGACACTGAACCCCGTTGAAAAAAAGAACGCTCGTTCATGTGCATTCGAAAGTGTAAAAGAGCAAAACAAAAACCAAAAATTTGATCATTTTATATAAATATAAAGAGAGAATGTGAGATAACATTTCAGAAAAACTGAAAAAAAAAATGTCCTTTAGTTTCACGAAAAGTGAATCTAAATAAACTCAAAACAATTCTGATGTTACTCCGCTTCCTATAGAAATAAATAGAGTTTTATACTGGTTGATCTATTTCCAGATATTATAGCATCTGTTATTTTAACTTGAAAGAAATAACTGGAGAAAAAAAAATTCAATTTCAGCACCTACGCACATAAAATACTTGACATCCATCAAAGTAGTGGAGAACAAGAGAGAAAGAGTACATGTGTATAAAGCATATGTGCAATAATAAAAAAAAACGAAAAACAAAAAAATGACACTTATTTATCATACATTCTCTATTGGAATATTTTTGTAAAAAAAAAACGAGACGTAACGGATATACACTAAATATTAGGCAAGATGTTTACCTCTTCTAATCACTGTTTTTGAGTTTCAGTAGATTTACATACACATAGAAAAAAGATAACGAATATATAATAAAAACGCAACAAAAACAAACAAACATATAACTCCCTAAATACATATAATTTTTTTGTTTTTTTGTTCGATTAAATAAATTGTTCCCACAGATAGAATAAATAATAAATTAAAACATTAAATGTTCGTCCATATTAAAATGTTGTTGCGGATGTATATGTTCTGTTTGACTACCAACAAGAATAGTTGAATCTAATGGCCAATAAGATAATAATTGAAATGTTTCACGCATTATTTCTGATACAGATTTTGAATTGGGATCTTGTGAAACCGGTTTTTTAGCTAGAACATCCGTCGAATACATGGGTGCTGGATGTACCAGAATGGGAAATTGTTGCGGTACAGATGGTGGCAATAGAAGATTTTGATGTGTATGAAGTGTATGTTGATGTATGGAATGTTGTGGCTCAGAATGAACCTGAACATAGACAACGGAAATAAAAAAGTCAGCTACATATTCTATTGTAAGTATTAGTTTATAGATTGATGAAAAATGTTTTTCAATTCATGGATTTTTGATGCATTGAATACAACTAACTAACTACACAAAAAGATTTAGGTGTAAATTCAAATTTTTGAATGTTTTCCTATTTTGGATTCATGCAGCATTTACGAACCAGAGGTGGAATCGGTTTTGATTTGAGCTCATTACATTCATTAGAAATCGAACTATATTTGAAACAGAGATCGGACACATCCTCACACATTCTCACAAGCAGATTTATGATGTGTGTGTAATATTACGATTAGATTATTAAAAATAAATCTCGACTTCAGTATGAAACGATGTTATCTGATGGGAAGCAGATACCTGTGTATTTGTAATATTTTTTTATCCCTTTCCGACTTGAAAACGATTACGATTTTGATTCAAACTTTTTCGATTAAAAAAATAGGAACCAGTCAGGCTCGTTTAGATATATCCTGAAAAACTGCGTCCTGTATAGTGTAGACTTTATCTATGTAACGGTAGTAAGAATTCAAAAAACTTGATTTTACATCTAAATTTTTTTTAAACTTTTATCCAATGCAATAAAAATATACGAATTGAAAGACGTTTTTTTTCATCAGTCTACAAATTATATAAGTTTTTACCTGAATATTTTGATCATGTTGTTCCATGTAAGATGGTGAAATGATAATACAATGTGACAATTGATTATTCATCGATGTCAAAGTAGTAGAGGGTGTTGATATTTGACTGCTATCTTGACTTGATGTTAGAATCTGGGCATTGGTGGAATTTGTAGACGAAGATGAACTACTTGATGCTGATGGTGAACTACTCGATGAATTACATGGAAACTGTTGTAATAGATTTTGTGTGGAATCATCGACATGATGAGGAGCTATATTCGTTATTACACCACCACCACTACCACCACCACCACCACCACTACCACCACTATTCGGTTGATCATGTTGCATTCTAAATAGCACACAGTTATAAATAAAACGAAGAATATTCCATTTCATCGTTATTCTTACCTAAAAAATTCTTGATCAGATGGTTCTTCTGTAGCGGGTAAATGTGTGTGTCCATAATGTGCTGGATAATATTGTACAGTGATATTTTCATCATTTTGAATTTCAACTTTCATCGATGATGTACAATGAATACCACAACGAAGCAAACCTTGCGCTTTTGAACGACGTAAACCTTGACCAACCGACTTATACGGTCCCGTACGATTACAATAATAATATTCAGTTGTTTGATTATCCGATTTACCTTTGGCACCACAATTTTTAACATATTTTGAACCGGTACGTTGTTCAAACGATGATTTCCATTCCGTAAAATCTAAACCAGACAAAAAATTAAACGGTTTAGTGAGAAGACACACACACAGCAGAAGAAGAATGAGAGTTTCTGTCTGCTCTGAATATAGTGCTCTTTAATCTGTTACAGGATCGGGTGGCACAAAATAAATGGCCCTCCTCGTATTTTGCTTATAATTTTTTTCTTTTTATTCCCGAGGTCTGACTGTTTTTCCAAAAGATGCGCCCGTATAAGCAAGACTTGATCACACTTACTTCTATCGAAAGTTAAGGAGAAAAATTAAACGAAGAATACTCAACATAATGAAAAGGACCAATTTTCTAAGTTATTTTGTTTTACAAATTTTAGAATATTTTAAGCAATTCTAAAGGCAATGAAACAAAAGTGAAGATATTTTTGAGTACTTTGAAGTTCGCTCTTTCACCATCTGCAGCTCACAGTTCGTTCAAATCTAAGTGAGCATTGAAAAATCTAACATTCAAAAATTCACCTCAAAGTGGCTAAAATTTGCTATTGTTCGGCAGGTGAATTTATGAAGAAAGCTTTAAGCTAACTTTCGCCGCTGAATCTAGCACAGATGTCATTTCTCATCAAAATAAAAAAAAGACTCAGCTAAAAAGGTGCTATTTTGGCTTCGTTACGCAGCATTTTCCAGGACTTCCAAATTTACACATTCAAATAGCTGGATTTTGCAAAATTTCAAAGAGGAGAAAACCGATGTCAGCCTCAAAGATTCGATTTTGTATTTGTGCATCTAATACCGGTTGATGGAGGTTTTAAAGAGGTAATTCTTTCTTTTTATCATTCAGCTCAATGAAAATCATTGAAAACGTTTTTCGGCTTAGAAAATTGGTCTGTTTGAGTATTCTTCGTTTAATTTTTCTTCTTAACTTTCTATAGATGTAAGTTTGATCAAGTCTTGTAGAGAATTTGATAGACGCATCTTTTGGGAAAACAGTCAGATTTAAGGATTGAAAAAAAAAAATTATAAGCAAAATACGAGGAGGGCCATTTATTCCGAACCACTCGGTAGTAAAACTATTGTAAGAGAAGAGCTAATTCTTCTGTTCTTACTGAATCAATCTTCTTTTATCTACATACAGGAGCATCATAGAGAAGTGAACATTTTATACAGACAATTCTGTAAATTGAAATCGAGCTCTGAAATAAACTACGATAATAGAAATACTAAAACTTCTCAATCATACCTGACAATGATGTAAATTTCTTTTCTTCTGTACATTTATATTCTGGCTTTTGGTGATGATTCGATAAATGATTTCTAAACAAGAAGGCAAATGTACAAAAATAATTAAATAAATAATGTTTTTCACAAGAAAAGTTTCTGATAGTTTGTCTGATATTCATGAATAATAGAAATTTGTGTTTTGCTAGCAATCCTATTCATAACTGTTTCCTTCAATGTCGATGTGAAAAATGATTTTGTTTTAAGCTTTTCATAAATCACAAAGTAAATATGAGCTATGCAAAAAATCTACTCAAAAACAATTGAAACTTCAAAACTGAGTCAAAAATTTCAATAAATCACTACAGTTACAGTGAAATGTCTCATGACACTGAATTTGTATTCAAATATGTTTACCTTAGATCACTGATAGCTAACATTTGATATGTACATCCAATTTCTTGACATTTGACGCGATGTAATGCGGTTGGTTCAACCATGCCTGAATATAGAACATCGAGAAAAAAAATAAAACACAACAATAAATATTTGTATTCAAAAGAAAAATACATTCACGTCAAGTCGTTAGATATGCAACAGTTATATACCTTGAAGAAGTTGAATAAATATGAAAATCTGAGAAAATTGTCAAACACTGCATTTTTTTAATCAAAAATATCCACAAAATCCTCGAACTATTGCACTTATACATAGAAAATGTTTAACATACACTTGAATATCCAATAAGACAATTAGTAATTCGAAATGTTGGTAATATAACTGATGCATATCTAACAACAAAAAATGAGAAGATACTTACCACGATGTCTTTTTCGTTTATGATATCTAAGACCAGCTCCCGATCGATAAACTTTTGCACACATACTACAAACAAATCGCCCCTGTGCCGTAGCCGATAGTTCTTTAATTGGTGTTCCATTTTCGTTCGTGAATGATGAATTCAAGGCAGCTGATGACGAGGCTGGTGATAAACCTTTTTTGGTCATTTCATTGATTGAACGTCACAGAATTAAATAAAAAATACAGAACAAAAGAAAAAAAAGTACAATGAAACAGAATAAAAAATTGATCTAAAACAATGAAAGAACGAAAAATAATGTTATTTTAATCGATGAATGCTAGAAACGTTTGCTGTTCAAAGGTAAACTCGAACCAAATGACTAAAGCCGCAAGCGAATGTTAGGTTATACGATATCTCATTTCAAACCTGTAGTTATTCTTATGTGAGATGTAGATTGTTTAAATCCTTTTCTTATACAAAAATGAGATAACATTTAGTTGTTCTGACATACGAAGCTAACACTAGACGTCGATTCGATGTCTGCTCTCTGAGAAAAATGATAGAATGTTTTCCGTCTATTATAATTAACTTTTTACGAGACTAGCGAACATTTTTTTTACTAACATTACCGATTTGACATACTTCGTTTTAGTAAAATTTACTCTACAAAGAAAGCATCAGATAAACGACTGAACACATCACAAAGGTTACTTTTATTTTAGTCTGGATTCCATAAACTTTATCATAATATCAACTCATTCGTTTTTTCCACACATTATCAATTTGCACATACGCGGATACAGCTTCTCTGCTCTTGTACATATCATATTAATTCTCACAGAAAAAGATAAGAGCTACTCAATAGCATGAGAGTGATAGTATAGTTCTAGTTCAAAACTGTACTGGAAATGTATTGTTCCTGCTCTTATCTAGAGAACTTCAACTATACACCAATACCGTAAAAAAACATAGACTCTCTAGCACTTATCATTAAACTTTATTCAGTGCCGTTGTACATGAAAAAAACATTAATTTTAAGTTATTTATATATTATATTATTTGAAAAAAGAAAGAAGACAACGTGAGAAAAATTCTTCATGTTTATATAATAGAATAATATTAAGAGAATAGGAATATCTACAATGTTCATCTTTCTACGTAGAAACAAAACAAATCAACAGTAACACCAAAAACAGAAGAGACAGAAAATGCGCTGTAATAAAAAAAACAAATGAGAAAGAAAATAGCCTGTTATCTTCATGTTCACAAACGAAAACAGGCACAAAAAAAATAAAAGAAAACAAAAAAAGATCGAAGGCCAAAAACAGAAGATAGAAGACAAAAAATGATGTGTGTGCTATAATGAAAAGCATATAATATGTATGTATATAAAGGAGGTGCTTTTCTTTAAATGTAGCACCGATTTCTCGTGTGTCGTCGTCTAATTATCATCGTTATAATTCACGTCAAGAATGTTTAACTTTTTAGATGTGATAGATACAAGAAAAGAAACTGATAATAAAGAAAAATAATGTCACTATTGAATCCTTTCATCTTTAACTTTAATACATTCATGTACAATATTTTTCACCGTAACAGAATTCATGCCCAAATGTGGATGTTTAATTTGATTATAATCATTTGTATTAATTGTTATTGTATTTGATGTAGAGTTTATATTATTGATAATTGTTGTGTTAACAGGAGCAATATTAATAATAATGGAAGATGTTTGTGGTTGATGTACGTGTTGTAAGCGTTGACAATGATCTGATGGAGACTGTTGAACTTGAACTTGTTGTTGTTGAAGCTGTTGTTGCATTTGATCGGTGGCAACCATGGCAGTTTGTTGTGGATTCATAACCTGAAATTAAAAAGAAAAGACACGAATGACTAGAATATGTTAATCTTGTTTTAATAGATGCTTAAGTTTTATCTAAAATTTTGATCGTTTGCATTACACTAGTCTCTCATGAATAACAATCCCCTAAGTTACCTTACGCTCATTAACGAACGTATGTAAGTGAATATCATACTCTGCTAAGATTTCTCCTTATCCACTCAACGATCCTCTACGGTTGTTTTCGTAAAAATAAGAGTTAGAACTACTTCTGTAGTTTGTTGTTGTCCATTTGCTGCGGTAGCTGGGGCTTGAAGAGCTGGTTCTGACGTATGTCCGTAATGTGCTGGATAATATTGAACCGTTATTTGTTCATTACGACCAATTTCAACTTTCATCGATGATGTACAATGAATACCACATCGAAGAGAATCTAATGCTTTCGAATTACGTCTCCAACCTTGACGAGTTTGTTTATATGGACCAGTACGATTACAATAATAATACTCAGTTGTCTGATTTTCTGATTTGCCTTTGGCACCGCAGTTTTTAACGTATTTTGAACCTGTCAAACTTTCAAACGATGATTTCCAATCCGTAAAATCTAAATATAAAAGAGTTTTGAAAGATATAATAAGTGACCGAAGACTGGAATTTTCAATAATTTTCTTAGTCATCAACTTTGAAACGCTGAACGAAAGAAAAATGCTCATTCGTAAGACAGTATTTGCTTCGTCAAACCAACAATAAGTAAGATCAGTATCATTCTTGATAGTAGCTTAAACGAGCTTTCGACACTGAGTAGTTGGCTGAGTAGTTTTACGATAGACGCACTTTGTGCTGACGTAAATACCTGTAAATGACGTAAACTTCTTTTCTTCCGTTGTTTTAAATTCTGGTTTCAAATGATGATTGGCCAAATGGTTTCTAAGGTCACTTATTGCCAACATTTGGTAAGCACAACCATTTTCTAAACATCGAACACGATGCAACTGGGTAGGTTTTAGCATACCTAAAGCAGAAGAAAAAAAGACAAATTTTTGTAGACTGAAGTCTGATTCTACGCAATAAATATGACATTCTTAGAGTTTTGACTTTTAGAAGCTAAATGAGATCTCGGTATTCTTTTCTCTTTCATGACTACGTCACAAGTCTCTCTTCTAACTATACCTCGATGTCTTTTTCGTTTATGGTATCTTAGACCAGCGGACGATCGATAAATTTTATTACATAGACCACAAACAAGTCGATCTTCTGCTGATTTTTTTGGTGTTTTTCCTGTTGTTGTTGCTGCTTGTTGTGTTGTTTGAACGGTCGTTGTTGTTTGTTGGTTTTGTATTACTTGAGTGGTAGGTAACTGTTGCGTCGTTGTTTGATGGGGAACAATGAGACCCGATGGTACGGCTAACGGTGTTGTGATGATCATTGGTGCTGAATTAGTCATCGTTGGCATGAGAATTTGTGGTGATTGTTGATGCTGAAGATCATTTTGATGTGTCTGATGAACTATAACAACATTACTACCAACAGAGCCAGAGCTTGTTTGCTGCTGTTGTTGTTGTTGTTGTTGTTGTTCGTTTTTCTTTGTCATTTTCTTGGAAAGAAAAGCAAAAAAGAACTTGCAAAGCAAATAATATTACTGTGAAAAAATATATAAGGAACGAAGAAGGTAAGTTATTATCTAAAAATTATATATAAAGAACAAGAAAATATCACATTTTATGTATGGGTTAGAAAAAATAATCTCCCAAAAAAATAAATTGTACAATGTCAAATTGTATTTATTTTTTCTTTTCCAACATAAAATACAGATATTCGATGTCCACAAAATAACAGAAGTAAAAGGAAAACACAAGAAGGAACAAAATAAAAATATGAAATGAATGAAAGAATGGAGAAATAATTTTTTTTTCTTCGTTCGTTTACTTTCTTTCATTCTCCGATTGCATCTAACGAGGACGACAGAAAGGGCAATAACATAAAACCAATAAAAAATCGAAACACAGCCTTCATGTATCAGAAAGAGGAAAAGAAATGTTCTTGTCTATAACTGATGCTGAGAAACTTTTTTAAACATATTGAATCTTTTTTATGGGCTTGATTTTAAAGCGAAACTGTTAGAGGCCATAGAGGACGCTACCGTACAAGATGTATTAGTATGAATAGCAATCTAAAATGATAAATATATAGTATGGTGAAGAACTAAATGTTATCTACAAAGTCATGGGTAAAATCTGACAGAAATTGTTGCCATTCAGGACATTATACGCCGTATCAAAGGCTATGTGTTGAATCTGATATATTAATTTTAAAAAAAAACAATGTTTTCCGGTGCTATCATATTGGGGGTCACAAGAAAAAAACTTGAATTTTGCAAGTATTATTTTTAGAGAAACAAATATATATTATTATTTTCAGATGAAACATCACGGTCATATGAAAAGTCCTAGAAAAATCACCAGTGCGTTCGTTTTGCTCTCAGTCGGTAACAATCGATTAGATTAGATCAAACTATAATACAGTACGGGTTAAAAAAAGGTGACGGGAGTCACAACCGACCATAGAATCGGAACGAATCGAGTTTCAGGTAGGCATGCACCGGTTATAATGGATTGAAATTGTGCACTTTTTTTGCTGAAAGTTTTTTTCAACGAAAATTAATTCTCTAAAACTTTTCTAACAACTGAGTTTTGTAGAGCGAACATTAGACTCCTGCAGGTTTAATCCGATCCCGAAAGCTTTTTTTCGGGTTCGGAACGGATTTCAGTTCATCTGATCGGGTTTGTGTCCGGTCCCGATTCTTCTAGTTTGATATAGGGGGAGACAAGCGACAATTCGAAATAAACAAAAAAGAATGAAAAATATGGAAAACAGACAGGTGTTTCGCACTAGACGTACAACCGACCAAGTGAATTTTATTTTTATACCACTACGACTAGAAATTTACTAATGTTAAAATGAAAGAGAGCACTACTTCACTAGAAAAAAAATATTTCGGGTTCGAGCGGCTTCGGGACGGGTTTTATTTGAAAAAATCGGGATCGGGTTGGAGTTCCCGAAAACGTTCTGGTGGGTTTGGGTTCGAGACGGGTTTCAAATCTCGAGACCGGACCGGGATCGGGTTCGAAAATCTCAGTAGTGCTCTCTCTCATTTTAACATTAGTAAATTTCTACTCGTAGAGGTACAAAAATAATCGGGATCGGGTTAAACCAGCAGGACTCTAGCCGGAGTATCCATCTATGATGTATCATACAGTATCAGCAACGTATACAGTGTTTTTGCCAATCAAAGTTGTTATATATCGCCTTCTCGCCATAAAAACGAAAGTGGACGCCATGCCTTCAGCAACTGTAAAGTTGCGCCAGCTATTCCATTTTATGTTTAAGCTCTGATTGAACGTCATTGATGGATTTAGCAAGCAATAGATTCCAAGAATAAATGTGCATTTTTCTAGAAGAAAAGTCACTGCCAAAAAACGCATATGAATCGACTTTGCCGTGTTGACATTAGGTTGTAAAGATTTTATAGCTGTTAGATACCGCCAAAGTCTAAAGCACATCGAGCTGCCTGCATGTACAAGTTCTCAGACCTGCCAAACAAGCTCTCATCAAGTTACAAAAATTTTAAGGTTCAGTATTCTTGTAAGCCGTAGGCACGGTCCTTTTGCTTCTTAAGAATTTTTATAATGACTGTATTCATAACTGTATGAGCAATTTGTTTGGTAGTTTTGAAAAATATTTAAACACAGGCAACTTGATGTGGTTTTAGAGTTTGCCGGAGTCATACTACCTTCAGCGCAGAGATTATCATGGATCTCTGAACGTCTGTTTTCTGTAGCCCTGTCTATGAAAAGCATATGAACCAAAATGATTATCAGATTCGTGATCAGCATTAAAAACAGCTCTAGAAAAAGTAAGTCTGAGTGAAAGCTCGGTGCATTAGTTGACGAGGTTCTCTGGTTATTAAATGCTATCCCAAATTTCTTAGACTCGAATTTTTCTGAACTGAAAAGCGATTGTAAAACAAATTTAGTTAGGTCAAATCAAGATGAGTTTAAAAATCCGAAAAATATTCAAACACATTATGAAATAAAAAATAATTTTAATCTTCTATAAGACGTCGACTTTCAAAACTTACAACTCATTCACAAAATATCTACAGAGAGCAGAACTTGAAGATCAGATTAGTCTGTGAGTTAGTTATTATCTGTTGAGAGAAATGAATAACAGGGATGCAGAAGTGTGATCTGTTTACTACAAAAACGGGTCATTTCTTTGCTCAGGTGTTTGGAGAGAATGAATAGGTGAAAGTTCAGATAACTAGGATATGATAAGCATAAAATACCGTGTTCAGTAAAAACCATTTGAAACTACTGATTTGAATATATAACTCACACTAACACGTTGTAATCATATACATGTGCTTTAGAAACAAAAGAGACGTGCATTACTCCTCGAAATTTCCTTTAGCTCTACCTATCAAAGACTTTCTTGCAATATGAAACACAATTTTGCTGCCCCTCTGATGGACAATGGTCATCTATTGTCGATACTTAAGTAACCGTTAAACCTCAGAATGTACATAATAATAAAGGGGTGATTTTACCATTCGATCGGTTAAGGAATACAGAAGAAAACAAAATATGAATAGATAAGAAACATATGATATTACATCCACTCGTATCTTCAATTTTAAATAAGGAAAGAAAATATCACCGAAAATCTGTTTTCAGAATATATTAGAGTGTGACTTTGTCACAGGAGAAACGTACCGCCATTTTTCGTTATGTCACATTTCAAAATTGATCAATCTCACCCTTTAGATTTTCTATAGTCTCAAGCGTATTTTATTTAATTCTGTAAACTGCAAGTGGTAAAATCATGGCTGTGCGAAGGTTAGTCGTAACTTCTTTTTTCTGGCTCAAAAGCAATAATTTTTTCAAAATCGAGATAATTATACATCAGCATATAGAGTGAAGAACACACTAAAATAGGAGCCATTTCGTCTCACAATATTTCTTAGACCTATATTTCGAAATTTTATTGATTTTTGCACTTTTATATTGTTTCACATTTCGCAGAAGAAAGTTTTAAGAACCCTCAAATGCGATACAAAGTGGAGGAAAAAAGTTTATCTCACTGTGTGTTGGAGATTTTCTTTCGAACACAGCATACTTCAGAGACATCCAGTAAGTGATACAGATAGCCCTCATTATTCTCTATAAAGCCTATAAGTTTCATTAGTCTTGATGAAGTCCAGTCTTTATCCAAGAAAAAAGAAATATTCTCCAGAAGCAATTTTTTGCAAAATCATCGTTTCTAAATTTTAACGTTTTAGAACGATAGATACGAGTGTTTTGAGCTTGACACAACGACTTAAGCTTAAAATTATAAAGTAGTAAAAACTTCATTCTTTTCTCATAAGAAAGCCCACATTTTTCTGGTCAGAGTGAAGCGTGTCTGACAATTTCACAAGGTGATTTAACCTTGATATATTTCTTTTTCCCAATTTTTATCGAAAAGTGGTACTGAACATTTGTTTAAGTGATAATCAAGGCTATTATAAGTCGATTTTCTTGTAATAAATGACTCGTGTGACAAAAACTTCGAGAGATTTTTCATATACTCTGTCGCTGTCCTATTTGCCACCAGTTGAAGTAAGAGAATTTTTTGAAAGCATAAAAGCTGATGTAGTGTAAAATATCATCTACTTCTGATGCTAATTTCATCTTTATCGGTGTTATCTTCTATGTAAAATAGCTCTTAGACGACCAACCATTTTTTACTCCTGTGAGCTATATCTATATCTTCTAAACTATGTGATGAAATATGTCATGTATACCAGAAAAGTTTTCATTACCCATTGACAGCTACTCGTGGTGATCCAACTATCCATGCCATAGATAACAAAGGAAAAGTTGAATGCATTTAGCAGCAAAAGTTGATTAAAAACATTGATTTATTCTTTGAGTAGCAACTTTCAATTTTTCTTATCTGTTTTAGATGACCTTACATGAATTTCCGCCACTAAAAAATAATCGTATCCTACGTGCATGTCGTGGTGAATCAATCGATTGTGTTCCTGTATGGATAATGAGACAAGCTGGTCGATATTTACCAGAATTTAAAAAATTATTAACTGAACATGGCTTTTTTAAACTAATTCAATCACCTGATTATGTCAAAGAAATTACTCTACAACCAGTGAAACGTTTTGATTTAGATGCTGCTATTTTGTTTACAGACATTGTTGTTCTCGTACAAGCAATGGGTTTCGAAATGGAAATGTCACCAAAAGATGGACCATGTTTGAAAGAACCATTAACCGAACCTGATGATGTTCTAAAATTGTTAGAAAAACAATACAATATTAAAACAAGTTTATCATATGTTTACGAAAGTATTGTAAAGACGAGGCATGAGTTAGATGGACAATGTCCTCTTATTGGATTCAGTGGAGGGCCATTAACGTTAATGTGCTTTATTATTGAGGGAAAAGGTACTTTATTTTGAATAGATCAGACATTTTTAGAAGTTAAATATCGACTCTTTTGGTGTCTAGTGAGATGATATATATTTTTTGATGAATCTAATTTTATGTTTTAGGTACAACAGCAGCCAAAATGTCAAAACTAAAACGTTGGCTCTATTGTCATCGTGAACGTTCACATCAATTGTTGAAATTAATCACTGAACTAACAATCGAATATTTGAAAGAACAAATTTTGAATGGAATTCAACTTATTCAAATATTTGAATCTTATTGTCAAGCATTAAATGAAGAATTATTCTTAGAATATGTTTATCCATATTTAAAACAAATTCGAAATGAAATAAATAATGAACAAATACCATTGGGATTATTTGCTAAAGATGCCCATTATGCCATGGAATTAATTCGAGATCTAAAATATGATATTGTCAGTTTAGGTAATGTTGACATCAAATGTCGAATTGATTTCTCTATTCTAACGAGGAAAGGTCCCCAAGTGTTACTCTCACTTTTCAATGGAACATATCCTGATTTGTAGAGTTCCGCGAGCTGATTACGATGACATAAAGTATTTTCCTCCATGGCTCTTGAAGGTCCAGTTTTCTGTACAACCAGTTTTTCAAAAACACTAAAAAATAACCAAAACTTTTCTTAATGAGGCATAATTGTAGCACGCATATTTTTGATTAAAATAAGACATCTTCCAGCTCTACACAACCTTTCTTTGCAAAGTTACAGAATTTACAAGAAAAGCCCTAAATGTCCGTTGTCAGCTCAAAACTACAGAAATAAGAAGAAATTAATTTCAAGCTTTCTTGTAAATTCTATAACTTTGCGAAGAAATGTCGTGTAGAGTTGGGAGGGATCTCATTTTAATTAAAACTGTGCGCGCTACAACTATGTCTCCTTAAGAAAAGTTTTGATTATTTTTTAGAGTTTCTGAAAAACTGGTTTTACAGAAAACTGAATCTTCAAGAGCCATGGAGGAAAATACTTTATGCTATCGTAATCAGCTCGTGGAGCTCTACAAATTAGGATATGTCTCATTGAAAAATGAGAGTAACACTTGGGGACCTTCCCTCGTAAGTAAAAATGTAATAATAATTTAGAATTTTTTTGTTTAGATTGGACAATTCAACCATCTAATGCTCGACACATATTTAATTCTGATGATGAAAAAACAGTATTACAAGGTAATCTAGATCCATGTGTACTCTATTCAATCGATAAAAATCAAATTGAACTCTATGTGAGACAAATGTTAGAAGAATTTGGTACAAAACAATATATAGCGAATTTAGGACATGGAATATATCCTGATGTACCCGTAGACAATGTGAAAATATTTGTTGATGCCGTACATAGAATATCAAAAGAAATGATTGATAAAGAAAAAAATTCCTAGTAATATGTGTCCATTTTTTATTGGTTGTTATTGGTGCTTTTTTTCATACGGTTTAGTTTTATTTTTTATTTTTTGTTAACACCATGTTGTGAACGCGAATGATGTTTGTTTCTTTTGTATTTTTTTTTGGTCTTTTTTGTTGTTTTTAAAAAAATAGATAGTGCTTAGCATAAACTCATACAAAATTCATCGTCTATTTTTTCTCTCTCGAAGTTGAAACACGTTCCTCAAATTAACTTCAATTATCTACTGCTCAAAATTCTTTTAGTTAAGACACGCTTCAGCGTTGATCGTGCCTGTGCTGTTTCAAGAAGATTGGGAATTTTTCAGTAGTTATTACTTTTAGGCGATTATCGGGAAAATGAATTGATTCTGTACAAATATGAGAGTTTTTCCTATTTTTTTCAGGTTTTTGGACTAAACTAGTTTATTTTTATGATATATATTGCCATGAAAATACATTCTTATTTATTTGGTTTACTATACATCTGATTATTTGTTGTGTTTGTAAGAAATTATCATCATCATCGTTCGTCTCAATCAACTGATATATTTTTCAATTTGAAATGATCTTTATACAAAAACATATCTGTTTATGACATGTATACAAACAATTGACCATTATCAAAATTGAAGGTAACTAACTTGGATTTTGTTGCACAAAAAGAACTATAGATTACAACATGAACTAGTTTGTTTTTTATAGAATATACGTTTAAGATAATGAGTTTTAATCAAGTTTTAAGCATTTAACACATTGGTGAATCAAATCATTACATATGATTTTTAAGGCGACCGTAATTCAAAATTCAAGTAAGATTTTATTTTAGATTTATTTATATATACTTGGATAGAGCACATCAAACTGAGTAAGAAAAGTTGATTTCATTTTTTTAAAAATGTTTTTTAGAAGAGAAAAAATTAAAAACTTTGGTAGATCTGAATTTATTCAAATTTGCCACAGTATTAAAAAATTCCCAATTTTCGTTCACTTCCACTTTATTTTCAAGTTTTGAAACGAATTTTTTTGAAATTCACTATCAAAAACTGAGTATAGAAAAATATATTCTTTTTTAATTCGTTTCGTTACTGAAAGTTTATTTTTTCTAAATCAGAGGCGAGTAATTCATTATTTTTTTCACCAGAAGTCAACTTAATGCAAGGAAAATATCATATTCTGAATCGGCGTCAAAAATGGAGTCGAATAATGTACATTTCTGTCGTATTCGACCACTTTAATTTTTTTTCAAATTTTCACCGCGAAAAATTACTGAGATTTTCAACAAAAACTAAAAAACAACTAAAAATTTCGAAATATATATCATTTGACTCAGTTTTTCATGCTATACTTTCATACTTTTGTGCCTACTGATACGATGGATTGAATTAGATAAAATATTTGACTATATCTCTGCAGCAAAAAAACCTACATAGATTTACAAAATGAAGTGGTGTCTTTTTAACGTGTCTGTTTATATCAACCAGACTCAATCAAACATTTCTTCTATACTCAGTTTTTATTAATAGTTAATTAGTTTCGAGACTTAAAGCGAAAAATTTGAATTTTTTGACACTAGCAATTTTGAACAAATTCAGTCCCATCAAGCTTTTTAAATTTTTTTTCGCTCCTAAAAAGCCTTTTTAAAAAAATAAAATCAACTTTTCTTACTCAGTTTGATGTGCTCTATCTAACCATATATAAATAAATCAAAAATAAAATCTTACTTGAATTTTGAATTATAATCACCTTACATTTGTTCAATAATTTTTGAACTTTGTATGCGGTGTTATCTTTTAACAATTATATTATACCGATAAACGTGCCTAGTATACTTATTGATAGAAGTACAACGTGTCTTTGAAACATTATCTTTAGTGCATATTTTGTTGTCATTTTCATTTCATTTTTCTTACTACGATACTTAACAACTAGGATAAGTTCATGAAGATTATTTGTTGAAAACAAATACATGTGAATGAATTCGACATATAAAACTAGTGCTAATATAACAAAAAATGTAGACGACCGTAACTAGTTAACTTTGATTGTATAACCATTGAGAAAATGGAAAAGAAATCCTAAAGAAAATTGTAATGTCAATGGCATTGAACACGATAGTGTGTGTTGTTGTTTGTAATAATCACAATTGACATAATTTACTGTGTAGATGAATAGACAGAGTGACGATTAATTGTTGTTTCATCGATAATAGTCACATTTTTCTTTTTTTCATGATTTTAAAAGTTTTCACTATCGGTTAAGTCGTGATCGAACGTTGTTGATGATGAAACAGATAATGGATAACTAAATATGAACGCAAAGAAAAGCATAAAAGTGAGACATAAATGATTAAAACCAGAAAGTGAAGTTATATTGTACAGGGTTTGCATCGTAGTTAGTTTTTCTAACTCAATTTCATCTCTGTTGTTCCTTTCGTCTAGAACTTGAAAAAAACTTGAATGACCAAGAATTTAGTGTTTATTTGTCAGCAATTTTGCTTCGTGAACATCCATTGTTTGAAATTAATTTGAAGTGTCATTAATCATCTAAACCGAAGATGACATTCCTCAGCTATTCTTTGATGCTTTTGTTCTACACAATGACTGAAGTTGTGCAATGACTCGATGTTATCCTTCAATGTACATTTTTGTGTTTTGTTTTTGGTGCTTTTTTATGCTTTTAATAACAAATGACTTGAGATGTTATTATCCCAAAACAGTTTACTACGGAAAAAGTGATAATTTTTGAGTTTCTAACCTAGAAATGCTTGTGTGCTAATGGTTGTTGAGGTTGTTGGTTGTGAGGTTGTTGTTACTAATAATGATGACAGTGGTGATTGTCGATTGATTTTTCTTCTTTTACTCTTGACCTTTCCTTCTTGTTTCCGTCTCACAATAATAGTATTGCTCTCATCTCCAATTAGTTCCACTTTTTCACGAGAATTATTTAAAATTGTTGATTGTCTATTCGTCGACAAACATATCCATTTTTTATCGTAGTTGTTCGAAGATCCAAATGTTTTTCATTTCCAGTCCATTTTCTACAGATAAAAACTGGCAAGTTTTTCGTAATTGGACATTTTTCATGAATAAATGTGTTCTTTTTATCTTTCATGATGTTAACATGATTATCTAAGACGAGGTATGCTATAAAAATTCTTTTCAAAATGAGTCGCAAGAAAACCTTGAAAGAACAACCGACGTTTTGAATGAGATGAACGATATCTGAAATAGTTTACGTAAAGCGTTAAATTACAACGTACAGAAATGATACAAGAATGTTTATTTTTCTGTCGTAAAAAGAGAAAATACCTAGATTTGTATACTAGACGCTATAATTTATTGTTCTGCAATTATTGACATAACCTACCTTTCTTTACCTGATTCTGACTTTGTTTTATACTGTGGTAGAACAGATCTTTGAATGGTTTAATGTCAACTGCTATTATTGTACTTAGTTGATTTTTTAAAAGAGGTTTTACTGAGTATTAACTTGTAATTTCTTCTTGTTTCTGTTGTTTTAATTGCGGAGAAGGTTTAGATTGACTAACGGACTTGATGAGGATACATAGTTGAGGTGTATCACTTTTTTTAATTGCTTGACCAATAGACGATGGTAGATTTTTGAAACGATCATGGGAAAATAGTTTCGCGTCATTCTGCATCATATAGCGAATTTTATGATCGTAGATGTGCTCAACAGAATGTAATGTTTTTTGTAAACTACCTGGTGACCAATAATCATGAGGAAAATGGATGGAGAGTTTGAAATTAGAACTTTCATTAAATAATGTCAAAGTTGGTACAACACTCATGATTAAAAAAGCAGATACATGAACGTGAATAGAAAAACTACAAAAACAGTGTAACTAAATGAGTTTAAACGAAAACAAGGAGGAAATATAACGCAATTTAATTATTAAAATAGATTACGCATGTGACAACAGTAATACCAGACTTGCTCGTATAATTTAAACCGGGGAGTGTTAACCCTCATATTTCCATCTATGCAATTTTCGTCTGATACCTAGGGGAGTCCGTGCGGCTTAATATCAGGGTTAAAACACACTAAAGGCAGAACAATTTATAAAAAAACATTTTCTTCTCAATTTGGGTGTACGTTTAGCGAAACCAAATCTTGCACCCTATAAAAATAAAAAAGTGCTGTATCCGAGAAGGCAAAAATTTTAATAAAAACCCGATACCAGATCAAGATTATTTGAAAAAACAATCCGAAAACTTTTTTGATCTCTAGAAAGGCTTAACAAAAAAATAACATTTGCACGCTTTTGAACAGCCACGACAAATGAGTCCCATCAGGTATTTTTGAGATAGTGTAGCTCACAAATGCTTCATTGAAGACCAATCTGATATATTATGAACTAACTTCTTTTAAGAGGCAGTCTAGAATCACAATTGAACAAAAGAATAGTATTTTAGCCATTAAAAGCAATCAGCTGACAACAGGATAATGGAATGATTTTTTTGGTAAAATATCCCATAGCCTTTCTGGTTTTCTTTCAGAGCGCATACAGTGCACATATTAGATAAACACTAACAGCACAAGTATTTTCACATCCATATGGTTCAAAAAAATTTTAATAAATGACAATTTTGAGCCACTGATAATTGTCAAACGCATTATCATAAGCTTATCAGTTATAGATCTTAAATTAATAACCAAATATTGATTATCAAAACTTCTCTTGACATCCGGATAAATACCAAAGAGTACGTCATAAAAAACAGATTGACAAAATTACATTTTATTCAAACTTAGTATATTAGTTTATAAGTTCCGTTCTCTTCTTTCTTTAACAATATTTCCAAGACACATATCAACAATTCTTATTTGAATTATTTCAGATGTGATTACAACAAAAATGGGGGATCTTTTCTTTCAATTATTATTGAAAATAGTTCAATATATTCTATTTTCATCATCTAGTTTGCATCATGCATTCTATAATATATCTTAATTCAAGATTAAATATAGCTTTTGTTGGATAATAATCTGGAAATTCAATTTTAATACTTTTTCCATCTATAGACGATATATACTACTAATAATGGGCAAAAAAAATGACATATATGATTAGTCAAACGAGAACCATAGATCGTTTTCCATTTCAGTATTTTAAGTGGTGAGTTATTTAAATTGACGGTATCCAACCTACTATGTGCGTGTGCATGAAGTCCTATTTGTTAAGAAACTTATATCCAATTTTATATACAAATATCCAATGGTAAATATGAAGATGAGTTAATGAAATTTATCGTTGTTGATGGATGACTCAACAACTACAAGTTGTTTATAGTTTAGTTCATCATTCTCGTTTTCAACGTTTAATCAATTTATGTAGAAAAAGCAGAGATGGACAAGTCCTCTGGCTTTTCAGTGAGAGTCAAGTCTCAGTCTCAGCTCAGTTCTAGTCCGTTCAAAACCTAACTATTCTGTATCAGTCCTATAAACATCCGTCCGAGGTCAGTCTGAGTCAGACATTTTTTCTCATTCGTTTCTATGATTACATGTTTTGTCTTGTATCTTTTTATCGAAATGACACTGTTTCTTTAAATGTTTATAGCAAAGATTTTTCCCTACGCTAAAGTTCAAAAGTTGAAGGGCTGAGACTTGAGTGGGATGGATTATTTTCGCAGGCGTCCCAGTCAAGTCTTAATCCGGTTAAAAAAACTTATTAATCCGGACTGGGACTTGCCCACCTCTGATAAAAAGTGGTTGTTTGATATTTAATTATAAATTATTATGATCAAAATTTAAAAAAATATATACGACCGGCTACCAAACACATTGTACATTAAATTTTTTACTCTTTTGTTTTTTCATTTCTAATAAATATGAAAAAGAGAACATACGAAATAATATTTTTACTAAATTCAATATACGTACGAAAATTTAATCTGTGTTCATTACTACTACAGATGGTTGTTATAGATAAAAAAATGGGCGATGTTGAAAATGCTGAAGATGAACGTATACAAAACCAATGTTTGGAATTATTTTCCAGTACCGATTATATTATGGAGCCGGGTGTTTTTGAAACAATTAAAACGTAAATTGTTTCTTGTTGTATTTGTAATTTAATTAAAATTTGTATTATTTAGCTATTTTCGTTCTGGTGGTGCACCCGATCAAGTAATTGAATTATTAACAGATAATTATTTGGCTATAGCACAAACAGCAACATTAATGGCCGATTGGCTTATTCTATTGGGTGTTGAAGCATCGGATGTGATACATATGATTGAACAACATTTACAAACATTAATTGAAAAAAATTTTGATACAAAAAAAGCGGATAGTATTTTCGATGAAGGAGGGGTAAATAAGAATTATAGTTACGAGGAAACATTTCCAGGTTTCATCTCTCGTTTTGACTCATTCATATCTCAGTCGATAGAGTATATCGAAATAGTAAAAAGCCTAAAAGAATTTTTATCCCCGACTCTTGAAGATCCAGTTTTCTGTACAACCAGTTTTTCAGAAACTCTAAAAAATAATCAAAACTTTTCTTAAGGAGACATAGTTGTAGCGCGCACAGTTTTAATTAAAATGAGATCTCTCCCAACTCTACACGACCTTTCTTTGCAAAGTTACAGAATTTACAAGAAAAGCCCTAAATATTCATTGTCAGCTCAAAACTACAGAAATAAGAAGAAATTAATTTCGGGCTTTCTTATAAATTCTATAACTTTGCAAAGAAATGTCGTGTAGAGTTGGGAGAGATCTCATTTTAATTAAAACTGTGCGCGCTACAACTATGTCTCCTTAAGAAAAGTTTTGATTATTTTTTAGAGTTTCTGAAAAACTGGTTTTACAGAAAACTGGATCTTCAAGAGTCGGGGATAAAAATTCTTGTAGGCTTTTTACTATCTCGATATACTCTATCGATTGAGATATGAATAAGTCAAAACGGGAAATGAAACCTGGAAATGTTCCCTCGTTAGTCGAATAGTTTCTACTTTTTTTTTATGCATCTGTAGGCACCATCTTGGTTAACGGAAATGACGGAACATTCCAATTGGAGATCGATGATTTATAAACTAGCTGAAGAATATCCAAATTGTTTAATGTTGAATTTTACTATTAAAGTACGCGATTTATCGTGTTCATTTAAGCAATGTAGTGTCGATTGATTTTCTTGTTTTAGTTACTAGTTGACAGTGGTCATGAGCATGAAATAACATCTGTGCCTGTTGCCGCCCAACAAGTTGAAGTATTTACCAAAGTTTTAATGACAACAATACAGCGGACATTAGACAATGACAATGATACATGGCAACGAAATATTCAAGAACTTGTTGTATGTATTTATTGTCCTATTCTTCATTTCTCATTTCGTATATTTTCATTTTTTTGTCTTTTTGTCTAGAAATTAGCATGTCATAGTGAGCATACCTATTTATATGCACAAACTGTCTTAGCATCATTGGCTGCCGATGCCAAATCGATGATTGTTAGACGAATAGCAGAAGAAATTGAATCACATGCGAGAGCAACGTATGACTATCATTTTATTGAATATCTCTTGCTGATAATATTCTATTTAGAGGTCATAATGTAACAGAAATCGCTTTAACATTAGATGGTACAACTCAATATCCAAAGGTTTATCAACCATTGTGTGCAATGTTAACAAAAAATGCTCTAAATCCAGCTGATGTTATTGCTGTAAGTTAGTTATTATCTTGCCTAGTTACTGAATATTACTAAAAAACACGAACAGCCACGAGTACCCAAGAACACCTTCAAGTTAAAATCTGAATTAGCCAGACGATTGAGCTCGTGGAGTTGAGTATAGCAACGCGTAACGAATATCCAAAACAGTGTGTCAAATTCATTTTATGAGCTAGGACTCAGAACAGCCCGGAGATGAATTTGACAGTTTTGGGTATGCTTATCCTTTTTTTGGAATGTTTGTAGATGTTCGTAGATGTTCATTGAAAATGTATTTTTAAAAAGTGAAACTATAAAAACGTTTTGGGGTGTTCGTTACGCGTTGCTATACTTAGCACAACGAGTTCTGTCAACTGGTAAACTCCGATTTTAACTTGGGGGGTGTTCTTGGGTACTCGTGGTTGTCCCCGTTTTTTAATAATACCCTTAGTTACTCTACTATTATAATATGTTTTAGTTGTACAAAATTTATCAGGGAACAGATGCCCCACCTGTTGATTTGATTCGTAAACCACAATTTATTGGTAAGTTATAAATAATCATATCTGTTAAAATAATTTGAATATTGCAATATGCTATAGAACTCTTGATAAATGCATTATTTGATCCAAATTCCAAGTTAAATCCTGATCATCGTCCAAAATATATTCAGTTATTAGCCTATGCATCAAGTGTGGCCGAAGCCAATAAAAAAGTAAATTTATCGGCTTATTAACTATTTTTATTCATACTGATTATCATAGAACATGTTTATTAGAGTTTACGAAAAGGTGTTGTTAATAGTAAAGAAGAATTATCGCAAACATTTGTTGCATTAGAAAAAGCTCAGACAATCTGTTCCGATACAAAATCAACAACAGAATTAATTAGTGATCTTAATGAATTATATAAATGTTTAAGGTAAAATTTATAGTGTAAAGAATGTTTTATTCTTTAAAATTGTCTAGTTTTTCTTTTTTTTGTAGATTTCCTGTTGTGGCTGCTGGTGTATTGAAATGGATCGAGTCTATTTTATTAGATGCAAGTTATTTTAAATTAAATCAAGACACAACGCCTGTACATCTCATTATTATTGATGAAGTAAGTTGAAGAGTCCATGTTTTCTTTTTTTATACTCTTAGGATGATATGATCGTATTTTCTCTTTCTTTAGATTGTTAGTCTTCATTTTTTGTTGCATGAAAAAGTATTTGAATTATTAATAAGATTATTTGAAGCGGCATTTACTGAACTCGATGTACTTGTTCAAGTAAGTACATCATTATCATGTTCATCTGACTTTCTATTGAACACAAGGTTATAAACATGGTTATAGAGGAAGAAATCTTATTGTATATTTTCACTTTAATTTTAGCTTGATTTTAAGAAAACGGTTTTAGATCGTATGGTTCACATGTTAAGTTGTTCATATGTTCATCCAATATTAAAATATATCAAAAAGAGATGGGAACAACAAGATACTGATGTATCACTTATTCGACACTTTGTTTTTGAAGTAGATATTTAATGGATAATGATAGATTTAATTTTATCATATAAAACTCTTTTTAGGTATTAGAAATGATTGGTCCTCCATATGATAATTCATTTGTGCAGTTATTTTTACCATTAATTCAAAATGAAGCTATTACTGGGACATTTCGAACGGAAGAAGAGAAGAAAGGTGTTAAAGAATTTATTGGTAAGAAAGAACATATGTACTATATGAAAGAACGAATGTTAAAAGTATATTGCTATTTTGTTTAGATCATGCACAATCCATAATTTCTACGAACGTATAATAATATTTCCCTCTAGGTGTTGAAATATTTATTCTAGTCAGAATTCTAATGTACAGATAGGCATCTTTTATATTTTTGTGTATATAAAAACTGTTCAGTTTTAATTTAGAAAATAAAAAACAAATAGATATATTTTCGATATTTTTGTCATATTTTAGCTGATAGAATACTGTTAACTACTATCCATCCAAAAATACAAGACCCGTGGGCATTTTTTGAATAACTTTTGATAGGAATGAGATAGAGACCTGCGATTTTCGCTGTTCAATAGCCAAGACTTGAGCAGAACTTTTCAC